ACACACACACACACACACACACACAGACACACACACACACACAGACACACACACAGACACACAGACACACACACAGACACACACACAGACACACACACAGACACACACACACAGACACACACACAGACACACACACAGACAGACACACACACAGACACACACAGAGACACACACACACAGACACACCGAATGTTCCTACGAAAGATCGTTCTTTGCCATCAGACGCATGACGAATGTCGATTGAAATTTTGTTTGATTGTAACATTTGATTTTGGAATGATTGGATTTTCCTCGAACGAAAAATCACATTCACTGCTAGAATTTAGTTTGTTCGAGAAATATTTTCCATCCCGCTCCTTTTTTCATTCATCGAAATTGATCATCAACGAATAGAAAGTCGAAAGAAAGTTCTTTGAAAACTCTAAGCAGTGTGCGGCCAGCTGAAGACTTTACTGTGGAAGTATTTGGGGGTTTTGTGTCCTTGTGGGAAATCAGATTTGGAGGGAAAATGGAGGGCCCGCTATCCTCAAATCTCTTCCTGTTCACTAGGAGTCATTTCACTACACCCCTGGTGCCCAATCTGCAGCCCTTTGGCACTTTTTGTGGCCCTCAGGGGTATATCCTACCTTGAAGTGTGAGATTCCCCCCTCACTTTCTTTTTACTAGACAGGAAGTGAAGGAATCTTTCCAAATGTTTGAGAGATATGCCCCTCACATCCTGCCTGGGTGACAACCTTTTTCTAGACAGGAAGTGAAGGAATCTTTCCAAATGTTTGAGAGATATGCCCCTCACATCCTGCCTGGGTGACAACCTTTTTACTAGACAGGAAGTGAAGGAATCTTTCCAAGTGTTTAAGAGATATGCCCCTCACATCCTGCCTGGGTGACAACCTTTTTGCTAGACAGGAAGTGAAGGAATCTTTCCAAGTGTTTAAGAGATATGCCCCTCACATCCTGCCTGGGTGACAACCTTTTTGCTAGACAGGAAGTGAAGGAATCTTTCCAAGTGTTTGAGAGATTTCCCCCTCACTTCCTGTCCTGGGCACATCCTTTTTTACTAGACAAGAACTGAAGGAATCTCTCCAACATGTGTGAGTGAGCTCAGAACAAACTGAGCCCCAATCTAAGACTTTACTGTGGGAGTATTTGGGATTTGTGTCCTTGCTGACAAATCAGATTTGGAGGGAAACTGGAGGGGCCGCTATCCATAAATCTCTTCCTGTTCACTAGGAGTCATTTCCCTACACCCCCGGTGCCCAATCTTACTTACTTTGTGGCCCTCGGGGGTATATCCTACCTTAAAGTGTTAGTTTCCCCTCTCACTTCCTTTTTACTAGGACAGGAAGTGAGGGAATTTCTCCAAGTGTTTGAGATATATACCCCTCACATCCTGTCTGAGTGACAACCTTTTTACTAGACAGTAAGTGAAGGAATCTTTCCAAGTGTTTGAGAAATTTCCCCCTCACATCCTGTCCTGCAGACATCCTCTTTTCCCTGACAGGAAGTGAAGGAATCTCTCCAACAGAGCCTCGGACACCAGTAAAACCTGACAGGGGTTTTAATCTTTCCCCACGTTTTTAGTTTTGGCCACAGATAAACTTTGAATGACATTTTCTTACAATTAATTTTCCACGCATGAGGTGAAGCAGAGCTGACCTAATGTGAAGACAACCCACCCACGGAGTGTGAGCTCTGTCGCCCAAATCACCGGAGATTGCAGTACACCTCGCCTGCTATCAGCCCTGGGACAGCAGACGGGAACAATGCCCCTTTATGGCCCGCACTGTGTACACACACTTGTATGGGGCCGGGTTTATTGGCGCGCACCTGCACTGCTATCTCCTGCCTACAATCACACCTCACACTGTGGGGTCACCGGAGCCTGACAGCCAAGGACAGAGATAACACACTTCAGGTGTTGGCGGCTAATCATTGCCCAGTGACCAGGAGACCGTGATGAGGTCACGGGCCGGCCATATGCTGTCTGGGTTGTTTTCCAGCAAAGCAGCTGATCTGGATATTCGGCTTTTGTGCCGAATGATGCCAATTAAAAAAAATCAGCAACTTTCCTTGGAGGATATAACATTGTGTCATGTTCATGTTTATCCAGGAATATCTGATTCAGGAGTGTTCCTTTTAGGGTTCGTGTGTACATAACGCATGTGCGCTGGTCTGCTGTGTGAACGCATGCAATGCACTGAAGCTGACCATTCACTATACAATCAGCTTTCACCTTCCATCCACTACATGGGGTCTGTCTGCTTTGATACAATGTATATGTCTTGTTCAGGTTTGTCCTCATGTCACATGGTTATGAATCAGATTGCACAGAGGTTGTACAATGAGTTTGTAGAGTGTAACCCCCATCATCCTCTTCTGGCTGGTGATGAGCTTTCACATGCATGGACCCCGGACATGTGACTCCCCATGACGTACATGGCTCGCGCTTTGTTACTCATAAAAGTTCCTCATTCTTTGCGTTCTTGTTTTCTATAAACAGTTTTCCCGATGGAACAATTGGAGTGTTCTCCCCGAAATATGTTTATTTTTGGATATTTGTGGAGAACTGACATTTCCACATAAGGTTAAAGTCAGCGTTGTATCATCGAGGTCACTTCCTGCCAGCGAAGGAGCTCACACTCTAATGTCCCTTCCACAGATAGACAGACACAGGCCAACTTGGGGAGGAATTCAGTCACATTCTATTGCAGTAGATTTAGAAGCACACCCTATAACAAGGCTGAGCAAACTCGGGCACTCAGGCTGTGAGAAGCTTGCAGTGCCTCATGGGACTTGTAGTTCCACAACAGCTGGTGGGTCCGTCTTTGGCCACCCCTCCCCTTTAAGCATAGTCATCTTGGGGGAATTGAACCCGGGACCCCAGTGCTCCAGTATACCAGTTTTAACCTCTCAGCCTCTCACTCTAAATCCGTAAAGCCATAGTTCTGCGTCTGGTGTGGAGTCTCGGTTGTGGAATCCTGATAGCTGCGGGCCCAGGCACTCCCAGCCCCAATTTCCCCATTTGTAGCCCACTGCTGGGCCCCTCTATTCCCATGGACGGCCCCAAATGATTTCATTCTTTATAAACGGTGCTGCCAACTCTTCTATTTCCTGGTGTCCTAGGTTCAAATGCCGGTCAGCACACTATCTGCATGGAGTTTGCATGTTCTCCCTGTGCTTGCGTGGGTTTCCTCCGGGTACTCCGGTTTTCTCCCACACTCCAAAAGACAGGCTGGGAAGTCAGCTGGCTCCTGTCTAAATTTGGCCTTTGTACGTTCATGCGTGATAAGGACCTTCGATTGTTTGCCCTTTGAGGGCAGGGACTGATGTGAGTGTGTAAATTGTTGGTGCTATGTGAAGGCACATTAATACATTATATAAGATGGATACTTCAAGGGCCAGGTGGTTTACTTCAATGGCACACGCAGGCAGTACTTCACCGCCCTGCGTGTGCCATTAAAAGGAGAACTATGAGGTGAGTGCTTTTCA